GTTCTGTAGGGTGTTTATTTTATGACCCAGGAGAGTATAAAGTATTCTGTAGTCGAAATGCCCATTTCTTGGAGGAAGATTACATCCTGAACAATCATCGTCAAGAAGTTGTTCTTGGTGAGGAGAGCTCAGGGGTAGTGGGATATGTCCCACAAGCTCCAGTTAATAACCAACCTAGGAGATCTACCCGAGTATCCAGGCCTCCAGTTCGCTACGGCTATGACCAAGAAAGTTACTTGGTAGAAGCCACGATCAGTGAGAAGGATCCCGTGACTTATATGGAAGCTATATTGGATATAGATTCCTTGAAATTGGTAGATGCCATGAAAGCTGAGATGGACTCAATGGTGACCAATGGAGTCTGGACTCTAGTAGATCCGCCTCCTGGGGTAAAAGCAATTGATTGCAAATGGATCTATAAGAGGAAGAAGGGCCCCAATGGTAAGGTTGAGACCTATAAGGATCATCTTGTGGCAAAAGGGTACACTCAGAAAGAGGGAATCGACTATAAGGAAACCTTTTCGCCCGTGACCATGCTTATATCCATTAGGATCCTATTAACTGTAGCAGCATACCATGACTATGAGATTTGGCAAATGGATGTCAAAACCACATTCTTGAACGGAGATCTTACTAAAGATGTCTACATGCAGCAACCGCAAGGATTCATTGTTGCAGGTTAGGAACACATGGTATGTATACTTAATCGATCCATATATGGACTTAAGCAAGCTTCTAGGAGCTAGAACATCTGGTTTGACTCTACCGTCAAACAGATTAATTTTGAGTAGATCCGGATGAGCCCTGTGTTTACAGGAAGACCAGTAGGGATAAGGTCACGTTCTTGGTTCTGTATGTAGATGGCATTCTACTCATTGGGAATGACCAGGACAAGAGCATTGGACCGCTGTGAAAAACACACTGAAATACCTTCGAAGGACAAAAGAGTTTTATCTAGTATTCGATGGTTGTTCACCACAGATCCTTAGGTATACCGATGTCGATTTCCAGTCAAACCCATATGATAAAAAAACTACATTTGGATACATCTTTACGATGGGGTCTTGTGTAGTTAGCTAGAAAAGTAGCAAACAAGGGTCAACTGCAGATTCCACAACCAAGGTCGAGTACATTGCCGCAAGTGAAGCTGCCGAGGAAGCTGTCTGGACAAAAAAGTTCATTTAGGAATTAGGAGTTGTCCTGTCCAGCACATCACCCATTCCACTGTTGTGTGACAACATTGGAGCCATTGCTTAGGCCAAGGAGCCACGAATCCACTCAAAGTCAAAGCACATTGAGAGAAAAGACCATGTACTGCGGGTGATAATTAGAAGAGGGGACGTCCAGATTCAGAATGTAGCATCAGCGGAGAATGTGACAGACTCATTAACTAAGCCACTGACACAAAAAGTGTTTGAGAAACACGTGGAAAGTATGAGACTCCGGCTTATACCTGATTGGACCCAAGTGTAAGTGGGAGTTGTTAGATAATGTATGCCCTTAGCTCCAATCAACATGATGTACATTATGACATTTATTGTAAATGAATAAAGTACATATTTGATTCATGTTATTGTGGTCTATTTCTGTATAATACCCTTAAACTGGACACATATGAGACTCGTGTTAGTTTAGAATCTTCACAGCCGTTGGATAGATCTAGGGAGATTTATCCTGTCAAGGCTGACACTGATGAACCGCCAAGTTGGTTGGGGTGGCTTGTCTCAGCTGCCAGGGTGAGACTTGAGGTACATGCAGTGTGAGTTTTCTTAAAACCCTGAACCAGACCAAATTCCATTATTTTCCTAGACCTTTGAGACAGATGGGAAAAACTGGAATGTTACACTTGACCCCTCGACTCGATTATGGTACTGCACTAGGTGTCAGATTAGGCTATCTTTGACATGCCAATCAGTGAGATTCTTAGCGGGGATCAAAACCTAGGTATGTTGGGACAGTCTAAGAATTCATTTGTGTGGGTGATAATAGTGACAGGATCAACCCCTTTGTCAGACAAAGTGAATGATCGGGGAAATGCACCCTTTCTAATTAAAACCTAAACTGCCGGTAGTGGATTTCAAATGTGTTTGAAATTTGGTTTTGCAAAATATATTTATATAGAGATATACTTATATATTATGTTTTCACAAATTGTTTACAAAAAAGTTTTAATTCCCGAGATCCATGTGAGTAGATAGTGCATCGCTGTACCTTGCAGCCTAGGGAGAGGTCCTCTCTTGCCGGGTAGTGTTTGATCATTAAGGGTTGAGAGGTTAAGTGTAAGACCATTGAGGGTTATACCTGATAGGCTAATCTTGCATCTGCCCATAGTCCTTGGGCCTTCATAAGATGGCTGGACCCAATGACCATTTAGTGTAAATGTTGGGCCCATTAAGAGCCCATGGTGATGGACTCAGGGGTTCAATGTGTATTGCAGTGAATTTGGCTAGGCCTTGTGGCTAAGGTTGGGCTGAACCCATGTGACTGATGTATAGATCAATGATAGGGTCCCACACCATACAAAGAGAGCCAACGTAGCCAGCATTAAAAAGAAAGTAAGTTTGAAAGCTTAATGGGCCTAAAGCCCATTTCGAACTGGGTTAATTGGATTAATTAAATATGGGCGAATCTGGGTATGGATCAACAGATAAGGATAAGAGGATAACTCTTATCCACTTAAAGAGTCCAAATCTAAATAGAGATTTGGATCAGGGAACTCCTAATTTGATTAGGAATAGTTGATCTTGATCTGCAGATAAGATAAGGGATTATCCTTATCACTTAAAGAGTTTAGATCCAAATAAAGATTTGGATCAAGAAACTCCTAATCAGATTAGGAGATCATCACTTTGATGCTATAAATAAAGAGTAGGGCGGATCTGAAAAACATACAACAACAGAAGACAACTCAGTTTGACTATTTTTTCCTTCAGTTCTTTCTCTCCCTGCACTTGCCGCTCTACCTTGTTCGATCTCCATTTCTTGGAACTGGTCAAGATTAGATCTTGATATTGTTTCTTGCTACAAGAAACAATTTTGAAGCTGTGCTCACTACTCCATTCGATTCTTGATGAAGAATCAAAAGTTCTTGGTAAAGAACTACCTGGTAATCCTGCCTCATCCTAAGTTGTGTCATCTTCAGTGGATGGAGGATTTAGTACACTCTTTGGGCGTGAACACCTGGGTTTGGTGGAGCAATTTTTCCTGAACTCCGTATCAGGTATACCTCTCCCTAATCTTGGTTTCAGATTTGGTTCGAATTGGTTATAAGAACAAACCTTGAAAATGCAGTTTTCTAAATTGGGAATACAATTCTCGGATGGGAGTAAATAAATTTTTGAAATTTCGCCCAACCTTCCTGTAGGGTTCGGCCATCCATATGATGGATCTCCCTTCCCTTCACCTTGATGTTGCTTTACGCGTTGTTCGGTATCTTCCGATTAATAGCAGCCTTGTTCTCAATGGATACTCTGATTCTAACTGGGCTATTTGCCCCATCACCTGGCAATCAGCCATTGGCTACATTACCTTACTCGGCACGTCTCCTCTGTCTCGAAAAACCAAGAAGCAACCGACTGTCTCTCGCTCCTCTGCAAAAGCGGAATATCGAGCAATGGCCTCTGTCACAGCTGAATTAATTTGGCTTCGACGTCTCTTAGCTTATCTCACCATTCAACTTTCATCACCTATGCAACTGCATTGTGACAACAAAGCAGCACTTCACATTGCAGGCAATCCGGTTTTTCACAAAAAAATGAAACACATTGAAATTGACTATCATTTCGTTCGTGAACAAGTGCAAAATGACCTCTTACAAACTCATCACTCATCAAGCTCCTATCAACCAGTTGATCTTCTCACTAAGGCTCTTCCTATAGAAAAATTTCATCATCTCCGCTCCAAGTTAGGCGTTTTGTTGCATTCTGACGCTCCAACTTGAAGGGGGTGTTAGGATTAGAGTCTTGGGCCCGACCACATGCGGTTTAGCCACGTGGCCCACTTGCAATCTAGTCGGTTAGCTGGGTTGTTACACTGCAACCGACCATCTCTGTAATTATAAATATCATTGTATCTTTCAATAAGATTACATAGAAGTTCCACTTTTTTATACCTCCTTACACCTTGGGATCAAATCTCATTGCCACAAGAGCTTAACTTCCTTCTCAGATTACCCTCGAGCTAATGCAATGCACACACAGGCCTTCTCAAATAAAGTCAAGTGATTTTTTATTTCAAAAGGCTGGTGTTTTCACCATTCATTGGGGTCACATGCGACCACAGTCGCAATACATTTTTTTTCTTGACACAAAAGGAGGCTTTAACCAATTAGATAACTTAGGGTAGTGTGGCAGACCATGAAAACCAGTAATGAGAAGAGTTTATAGGTCCATTTGGTTCATAATTGGAATCAATATTATCTATTCCCATTGTCTGTTTGGTTCAAATGGGAATCAGAATTGAAATTGGAATTATCTAGAATGAGATTTAATGCAATTCCATCAGGAATGGGAATGGGATTCCGGTCCCACCCAACCCAACAGTTGGAATTGAAATAACTTTGATTCCAGACCCTATTCCTGTAAACCAAATGGACCCTATATCTTGTGGAAGAAGTGGAATTCAAACTCTTTGAATGGATTGATGATCTCTCTATAATTGCAAAGAGAAACATTTACGTATAATAAACCATAGATTTGAGTCTTGTTATGCTCAATTCTAGTTTGTAGTTTAGTCCCCAGCTCCAATGGTTGCATTCTGCACTTAGCTAGCAGGTCAAATATTTGCTTAAAAAAAAAAGAAATCATAAAAACAGATGCATGGTCCATGATTATGTGGTTCGACTCAATACTATATATATATATATTCAACCACCCAAATATCCCGCTTGTCCTTGACAAGATTAGCTTGAATTTCTGTCTGATTAGCAAAGCATCAAGTTCTATGACTATTTTTGTCTGAGTTAGGATGAAATTTACAAATTGCTGAGAGCACAAAAAAACTATTGGCAGATGTCCAATTCAATGTCATTGCCTGGGTTTTAAGTTCATCTAAAAAACAACTTCGAACAGCCTTTCATCACGGATTGGTACACCAAGCTATGTAAACAACATTTTGTTTACAACAGACCCAAACTCTTGTCACATGTTTTCTTCCTTAGTCAATATGTATGCTTTTCTTCTTCAAAACAAAAACAAATGAAATATCAGCCAAAAAATATTATTTTATGATTCATCAATGTCCATTCTCACAGAGATGGCTAGAATCTGAATTCAAAGTGCATCCAAATGCCACCATATTGTACCTTGTGCACCATAACCTGTCATTCCAACACAGGCATTAACCTTAGGTGCCATGCATTACTAAATATGTGCAAATTCCGAGTCACAGTTCACTCCAGTAGTCCGGATGGTAAAAATATCTCCTCCATAGCTAGATTTAAGATGACAAGTATAGTCCATAGGTTTATGTCAACCATTTGTCTTGAATAAATCAGGATCCAACCAATGCAGGTTATGGTGACTAATGTTACAGATTCAGGGCAGGATGGTATTTGGAGTAACAGACCTAAGAAATCCGAAATTTGGATTCTGTTCCAGAAAGGGAGGTGGCCGCTGGTACACAATTGATGCAGCACGAATCAAGATCCCAGCAGTCAAACCCCATATTATGAATTTCTTGTTCTCTGTTTCATAATCAAAGAAATGGATCAAATACTTGTGTCCCATCCATTCTCGCTCTTCTGCAGTTCGGTTCTCATCCTGAATTCATCACAATATGTTCAAAATGCGCAGATAAAGAAGAAACAAAAAGGGCAGTCAAAAAGAAGTGAAGAAGGAAGGCAGACAAACCTTGATAAACATTTCTAAAGGTGCATCAAATATCACTTCCACTTCTCCAACATTTGGAGTAGGCTTGAATGCTTGCCTATTTGAAAGTATACCAATCACAGGAACAACTCTCAGAAGATGCTGCATAGGGAAAAAACCATCTTTTCAAGGCCAGAAGATGGATAAATAAATGAATGCAACAGGTAAATAAAAAACAGAAAGCAAAACATACTCAAAATGGGCCAACAATCAGTTTTATGCTTAAGTGAGTTTACCTCCATTCCATGGAGGGTAACATGCTCCATGACTTGACTAGGTGGAAGTGTAAAGATTGTAAACTGTAAATAAAGGTGTTTGTTTTCCATAAGAAATATATCATAATTCCATCATATAATAAGCTTGTTCATAGGTGTTTTTCTTACTGGTTCTATGAACTATAATGAGGGGGCCTTGTAGATAGTGATAAGTTGAGGAGCCCTAGGAGACTATGTTACTAGATTAGTATTAGATCCTTAGCTTCCAAAATGATCCCCTTATTCTAATGGGTTCCTAGATGGGCTCAATAGCTTGTTTACCAATCCGAGGATTTTTTTTTTTTTTCTGTATCTTTTTGCACAGAGACTTGTTGTTAAGGTCTTGGGATGCCTCAAATTCATGTTTTTGTTTTGATTCCTAAGGTTTCCTACTAGCTCTTCTGAATTACATTTACATGCTAATACAATGCATTACTGTTATATGTCCAGGTGTGTGGGAGAACTGCTCTAATCTACAAATGATTGATCCCACATGGTTCAATGGACATCAATTTGAACTATGGGAAAAAAAACATTTACCATTCACAAATCTCTAATCTACAAATGATTGATCCCATATGGTTCAATGGACATCAATTTGAACTATGGGAAAAAAACATTTACCATTCACAAATCTCTAATCTACAAATGATTGACCCCACATGGTTCAATGGACATCAATTTGAACTATGGGAAAAAAAAGCATTTTATATATGCTAGATGGTCATTTGTCAATCATTCAAAGAGACTAAAAAGGAAAATGATACAGATAAGTGCCCTCAAGAACCAATAGAGTGCTGAAATCTGATGATAGTCAAACAAGAAGATTTTTTTCTTTTAGGAGAGTCCACACAACATTGACCAGGACAATCTTTATGGAAGAACTTCACTGATCAAATAGTTGGGGCCTTGGGGCAGTACAAATGTAGAATATAGTTAACATGTAGCTCATTGTTATTACAAGTAAAATGGGAACATTATGTACTACGGATCATTGTGAGGTGTCAAGATCCACTGGCCTATGGATGGATTCATTGCTGGATCCCCAATAGGAATGCACCTGCAAATGTGTAAATACAAACCGCACATTGTCTTTGCAAGGCAGTCTGCACTTACACATTTGAAAGTGAATTCCTATTGGGTTCCAGCAATGGATCCTGCTAACAGGTAACCACAAGATGAGGAGTGCATTTTGAGGTAGAAGTGGGAAAGGAAACATTTACAATATTGTTCACTAAATTATCTAGGTGTGGGACGAATTTGGCATGAGAAAACAGCAAGAGCTTTTTTCTGATAATTATGATGTCGTTTACACAAGATTGCTGCAGACCTAGTGAATAAACTCATTTTTCCCGATGAGCTCTAATGGAAAATGGTTTATGGGTGACGACTTGGAAAGCCATGGTTCCTTTCTGAACTGAACTTCATGACCTGTAAAATATCATATCCATGGGACTCTGAGAAAGGTTTCTGTTTACTTTATGAGAAAATCGAAAAGTGGCTGAAAATGGAACGCAGGGGAAAATGAAGTATTACAACTTATGCTTGTATTTTGACCTCTTTATCTGTCACTTGTTTCTCGTATCAGGAAAAAATGCCAACAATATGTCAGGATCGAGGTGTATCCACCATTAGTTTCTTCTAATTATCCCCAATAGAAAGTTGAGATTTTGATCAGTTAGTTCGTGATTGCTAGTATGCATATAGCCAATTGGGAAACAGAGCACGCTCAAGTTCATATCCAAATTTTTCTTAGAGAATGTCCATATTCACAGAGTAACTCCATACCCATACTAAATTGAGAATCAGACTTCAATCTTAATCTCATTCGAAATTCTTCAGATTTCAATGGATAGGAGAAAGATCAGACAAAATTGTAAATTTAAGTAAAGATTCCAAAGAGAGTCGAAGCTCAACCTCCAACATACCTTAGACAAGAAGGGCTCGAGAACAGTCACAACATTAACAAGGGAAGGATCCAACCCTATCTCTTCCTTGGCTTCCCTCAAAGATGTCTCTGTGTCATTTGCATCACCCGCCTCAGCTTTCCCTCCTGGCAAAGCAACTTCACCTAAAACAAAGACATCGGCTTTGATTTCATAGAATTCAGGAAGAAATCCAACTGGTTCCGTCATAATGAGTACGGAACAACAAATTCATCTCGTCTCCTCTGACCTGAGTGAGTGGAGAGTCTCTTCGAGCGCCTAGTGAGGATGACTCGGAGATCTCCAGCATCATCTTCGAATAGGCAAATAAGGACGGCTGCTCTCTTCGGTCTAAATCTTTCAGAATGAGTAATAGATGTTGCAGATTCCGAAAAACCCACCTGAGAAACGACCTTCCCTTTGTTTTCTTCGATACGCCTCTCTTCGATCTCGTCCTCGTCGTCTGTGGAAGGAAGAGGCTTGTAGAGACGGAGCTGTTGAGCTAATTCCCTAAGGGTTTGAGATTTTGGAGAGAAGCTCGAATCCATGAGCGCGGGGAGAGAACCTAGAGTGGTAGATGATGCACTGTTAGCCATTGACTCAAAAAATGTGTTTGAGTCTTCCGAATTGTCGGTAAGGTACCCAAACAGGTGGTGTACTGGTATGGTATATTTATTGGAGCCTTTAATCGGATCGGATGTACTTGAATCCGAATTCGATCCGAAGTATTACAGAACACTCTCACTCTTTGAAAACTAAAATTGTCCATAATTTATAGGGTTTGATGCATGTGTAGAATACAGTTCAATGGTGGAAACGAAAACAAAAGCTGAACCTGAAATAGTTAGGACAGTGTGGAGGTGGATGACAGTTGGGATGGTGGAACAAATGTAAAAACTGAATCTGAAATATTTAGTACAGGTTTCTTCGTTATTAAAAAGGAATACAAATAAAAATAAATATATGTAGATCACAAATGTCAATTCAGTACATATATACATTTTCATTCAGTTCTAATGGTATTTGATAAAAAGTACATATTTGGGCCCAAAATGAGAGCAAAGTTTACATCCAAATATGGATGTAAAGTTTAGTATATTTCAATCTTAGAATTTGTATTTGTATCTATTAAAAATAAAAATTGTACAAGAAAATAAATTTATCAATGCAAAACTAAAGCAATTTTGCATTTGCACGAACTAGAATGCACTCTATATTATAGTATTTGTATTTTATTTGCACTTTTGCTAAACGGAACTCAAACAGGCTCTATTGGACCAACTTTCTTCAAATCATCAAGGCCAATTGGCATGCTTTTGTCCATTTCCATGCACTTGTCTTTTTCAAAAGATCAGTTAGAATGGCAACCCAAGCTCAATATCTTGACATGAATCTCCGGTAATAGTTGACAAGCCCTAGTAATGACTGAAGTTCTATCGTCATAGTAGGGGCAGTCTTAGGGTCCATAATGGTGCGCACGCAAAATGATATGCCCAAGGAAGGTCACCTCCTTAGCAAAGCAGCACTTTTCCTTCTTTACATACATAAGTGGTTTTCCTGCAACACCTTATTACAATGTAGAGGAACAAGTTAGTCACCAGAGGAATGGGGTATTTATTCTTGATGGTGAGTTTGATCAAGGCCCGGAAGTCAATGCAGAGGCAGAGTGAATCACCATGTTTCTTCTGGAAGTCACCAGAGGAGCCTTGAAAGGTTGAATGAACCCGACTTCTAATAACTCAGTTGCTTTCATAGCTCAGTAAGTTCAAGAGGAGACATGTTGTATAGAGTGTGAGTTGGGGCTTGGCACCTAGTTCTAGCTTGATCTTGAGGTCAACTTCTTATCTTAGTGGCAATTTTTTGGAAGTTGTGGTGGCATAACGTCTTCAAATTCGTCTGAAAATAGCCATGATTTTGGGAGGTACACTTCTTGGGGCCATCTCCTAGGGTTCAACACTCACCATTGCAGCTAGATATGTAGCTTCACCCTTCTGAACACCATTCCAGAGTTGTAGGGTTGATAGTTGTTTGTCAGGCTGACTAGTCTAGGGCATGCTTGGCACCACACAAGGTGAGGGCTCCTCAAAGATGTACACCAAACTAAAGAAGGGCATTGGCACCACATTCACGTGTTAAGAAATTCATGGTTAAAACATTTTGAAAGTCATTCATAGGAACTACAGACAAATCAACATGCCCTTTCCAATCACCCTCTTGAAGCCATCCCCTCATAAGTTTGGCATTAGAATTCATAGCCTTCAACCATCACATCTCCTTGGTTTGAGTAAACTTCAGATGTTGTGCCTCTTCCACTGAGATGAAGTTGTGAGAAGCACTTATGTCCACCATGGTGGTGGTCACCTTCTTCTTTATGGCATTGAATCTCTATAGGGACCCCATTATTGGTTCTTTTGCTTCATTCTCTTCATCATTATGTTCATCATCACTGAGCCTTGCAAGAAGAGCATTCAACTTTTCTTGGCTTAGACACTCCTTAGTCCAATGCTTACCTTCACAAATGAAGCATGGTGATGGAGGAGCCTCTTGCTAAAGTCGCCACCTTAGAAGCTGGGCTCACCCTCTAGCTTCTTCCTACCTTTCTAGTCATTAAGCTTGTTGTACCCAGTGGGGACTTTTGGGGAAAAAAAGGGCTTCTTGTCTCCTCTTGGCTTGCCTTGTCCTTAGTAGTTGTTAGATCTAGGGACATCTTTACTTGGTCATCTATTGTCCACCAATTATTTAGCAACTATCATGGTTGTGGCAAGGTCTTCCACACCTCGTCATTGAAGCTCAAGCTCTACCAACTATTGTAGGTCGTCTATGAAGTTGAACAATAGGTCTTTGTCTAGCATGTCTATGATCTTGAGCATCAGAGCGGAGAACTCCTTCATGTACTCATGCAACAAACCTATGTGATTCAAGTTCTTTAGTTTTTTCCATGCTTGGTACTCGACGTTCTCTGAATAGAATTCACGTTTTATCTCGCTCTTGAACACAACCCAAGTATCAATGGAGCATAAGCCTTGCTCCACATTAACACATCTCCCGCACCGCCATAGCATAACAACATTAGTAAGATACATAACAACTATGCATACCTTAGCCTCCTCCTTAACTAATTCGGTGGCAATAAAATATTGTTCCATTTTCCACAAGAAGTTGTCAAGTTCTTGGGAATATTGGGCTCCTACATAAGGGGTAGACTCTTGGACTTTAATCTTGGGAGGTGTTGGAGCTATTGTAGTATTGGCGGTGTTGACCATCAACTTCTTCAAAAGGGTCACCTCATACTTTAGGTCCTCAAGCTAAACTTGTAGGCATGTCACCAAGCCTTCTAGGGGGTGCTTGGTGTGTTGGAAGTGTTGTTGGAGTGCTCCTCCAGACAACAACTACTAAGATTTCCAAGTTGAGGTAGAGCTCATCAACACGATCACAAGCTTTACCTACCGCTGCTTCGCATTGCATGATGTGTTTGTCCATAGCCATGAACTTGTTGATGGACTTCTCGTGCTTGCTATATTTTGACGTCATGGCTTTATCTTTGAGGGAGCTATCTCTAGGCTCGTCCTCAGGCTCGAACGTATGTGAGATCCCTTCTTGTATTTCAACATGGATCTCTCGTTTCTTCTTCCTATTAAAAGCGATGCGGGGTACATCGTGGGACAAGGCGTCTCATGGAAAGTAGGAGAGAACTAGGCTCTAGTATCAACTTTCATGGTGCTAAATGGCAAGACACCATGCGGCACTTCATGTGTTGAGTAAGCCTACGTTAATAAGCAACAAAGCAACTAGGAATGCATACAATTTAGATAAAATGGCTTATGGTATTGCAATCATAATTACTAAAATTTGTATCTAAGGAGACCTCATGCTTAACTTTTACATCCTCTTGATTCCACTCAACTACTTACCGCCCCTTATAACATAATGACAATGACATCACAGAAGCCCTTGGAAAAGGAAATAGGGAATAGAACTATAGCATCGGCAGAACCACAAGGGAATAGGCAAATAATAGAGGCAACAATGCATCTCATGTCCGTCAATAGCAAAACTTTAGTTGACTCTCCAGTCTTAACGACGACAGAGTTTGGGCCTTGGGAGATGGAAAACATAAACTTGGTAGGGTTGGCTCTCCGTCTCGAGTTTGTTTCGAGAATAAATGGTAACGGTGAATGTGTTTACTTATTAACCCTACAAAACTATGATATATATACCAAATTATATGTATAATAAACCTAATATGGTATTTTAAACTCTTTAATTAATATAATACTAAAATATATAATATGTATACTTGTATCAATTTAGAAAATCAATGGGAGTCGGGTTTTTATCCGATGGATTCGAATTTGATCAGATTTTTAATTAAATTATATTTCTCTTAATAGAATCAAATCCATTAATGAATATAAACCATCTGAATCCGTGATAATTGGATTGGTTGTCTTATCAAGTAGCGAATTATCAAGTACAATTGACATGCCTAATTGGGAGGGGGTTGATTGGTCAAAGCCCTCTCAGCATCATGTCTTTTCGGTAATATATACAAAGTATTTAGCCCCTATTTGGCATTTGAGTGTATATTTTTAGGGTGAATTGCAAATAGGTATCATGTATTTTGGATAATCTCATTTTAGGGCCTGAACATTTGAATTTGTCACTTTATTACCTAAAGTTTTAAAAATATACATTTAAGCCCTGTTAAACAGAGGTAAAATTATGAAAATGCTCATGTTTTGATTTTCTTTTTTCACTATTCATATTCTTTTACATTTTGATTTCAGATGTAAACCAACAGTAGCAAAGAAAGCTCACATCTGTCTTTTTATTTGGGGTAGTCTCACTTTTGAACACTTACTTTGTCGTTGTTGGTGTATTTAAGTCCAAACGTAGAAGAAATATGATGAACAGTGAAAAAAGAGTCAAAATATGGGCATCTTCATAATTTTACTCTTCATGGTAACTCTAGCTTAACAAAGTTGGACTTAAGGTTGTGTTTGGTTTGAAGGACAAGGTAGAAAAAGGGAAAGGAAAGGTGAGGAAACTTTTACAAACCTTGTATGAATTTCCCTACTTCCCTTCCTTTCCCTGTTTTTTCTTTCAAACCAAACATAGGTTAAATGTATACTAGCAGAGGGGGCCCTGTGTTGCAGGGGCTCGCTCATAAACTATCAGGCTTGAGCTCGATTCGAATTAGAGACTTGAGCTTGAGCTCGAGCTCGACTCGAGTCAAAAGCTCAGAAGTTCGAGCTCAGCTACCATTGATTGTAGGTCTCTCAAGTAGCTGAGGTCTCTCAGTTACTGAAGTGTCGAGCTGAGGTTTCCCTACCAGGTGAGGTGTCGAACTAAGGTCTCCCTTAGTTGACAAGGTGCCGATTTGAGGTCTCTCTTAGTTGTCAAGGTGCCAAGCCGAGGTCTCCCTTAATTGTTGAGGTCTCCCTCAACTGTTGAAGTGTCGAGCTAAGGTTTTCCTAGCACGTGAGGTGTCGAGCTAAGGTCTCCCTTAGTTGACAAGGTGCCAAGCTGAGGTCTCTCTTATTTGTTAAAGTGTTGAGCCGAGATCTCCCTCAATAACTGAGGTGCCGAGCCAAGGTCTCCCTCAGTGGTCGAGGTGTCATCTAGCTCGAGCTCAATTCAAAATAGAGACTTGA